GGCCGAGCACTAACTATTGCGTCCCCTGTTGACAAGCCGGGGTGCAAAGTCTCTCCCCAAGCTGTGGCCACTGCGCCATGCAGGAGGCAGCTCAGGTTCAGTCCCCATGTCAGCAATGTTGCTAGCACAGCCTCTCTGTTCACCAGAACAAACCATCCCTTGCCGACACGTGACCATTTTTTCCCCTTGTTGCAGGATTGCATTATGCTGGTCACTGCCGCATACTGCATTGCGCCATCAGGTGTCGCCCCCTTGAACACCACACGCAGCACATTGTGCGAATCGGGAAATACTCGTGCCAACCTGAGGATTGCATGTGCCCAACCTTTGGTTACTTGTCCACAGGCCGTCTTGAGATCGTAGTACACATCATTGTCGTCGTCCTCTTCGTCGCTGCTGACGTCGCTGTCGCTCACCTCCACGTCAGACCCCTCGTACTCTTCCTCATCCTCCTCCTCTGCATCATCTCTGTGCTTTGCATCGTCTCTACGCTCTGCCAACTGTTGTTCCCCTAAGAAGAAACCCTCACACATGTCCATATACACCAAGTCCTCTGTCGTTGATGTGTGCATGGTAGACACGTCGAACACCATCGTCCCACTCGTATCTTGTGCTGCTGATGTCTCCCCGGTTTCTTCAATGACCGGTAACCTTGTTTCGCTGGCAATCAGCCTCCAACCCTCTTCCCTTTCTCTCTGTCTCTTGACATCGCAGGTTGCAAGACCAAGCCGCGTCAGAGCACAACCCAACAAGCCCCCCCACAATGGTCTGCCACTAATGATCTCCTCTCCTGCTGACGCTGGCACAAAATCAATGAGATCTCGACCCTGCACGGCGTACTCTGTGACTTCATGCAAGGCCTCATGAATGACGTTCCTGTCGTCCTCTGTCTTATTCATGAGGTCACATAGCTGATCAAGCAGAACGTATTCCACACCGTCTGCAACAATCACGGGAAGCTCTTGAAAGTCCTGGGGCGGTGTTTGTGTCATGTCCTTGATTCTAGACAACACTAGTATTTCTGCAGCACCCCTCTTCAACTCGTCGTTCGCCCCTTCAACAAGCATGTCTCATCCCTTCGCCACACTCACCATAAACTTCCTGAAAGCCACAGGTGTATAGGTCCCCCCTTTCCGCTACATTGTCATGTCGACAAGTCCTTCGTCGCACATGCCTTCACTGCACATCCACTGCACAACTCCTTTTAGACTGTATGGGTTGTCTTCCGCGTCGTTGTCCACACGAACATCAGGTGACTCTCTCAATCGTTCCAAGAGTGTTCGTGCCTGCACACAACCACTTTCGTTGGCCATGATCGTGGATCTCATATCCACGCTAACAGCAAAGTACCCCGGCACCCTCTCCTCCAACAAAGACAACTCGCCATGACCGTTGTAGTTGAAGCCCTCCTCTGCATACTTTATCACCTCTGTGAGAGCCTTCGCCACTTGTGCTACCGACATCGACATGATGCACAAGCTTTGTCTTTCGACCTCTTCTCTCTGCCAGCGGAAACGCACAAAAACGTCATCGACATGTCTGTGTG